AGTAAATGTAATTAATCAAATATATAAATGATGTTAAATGTTTGGAGCATTTGATCGTTCAGTTTTGCAACCAGCATCCCTCCAGCTTCTCAGTCACCACACCTGGGCGCAGGGGCCAGCCCTTACTCTTACCTTGTCCTCTCAATTGCTGATTCAGTCCTGCTTTTTCTAACCTGCTGTCGACTCCTTCTCTCGTATTCTTCATTTCAGATATTGTACTCTTCATTTCTGACTGGTTCTGTTACATGGTTTCTGCCCTTTTTAATGCTTACTCTCTGTTTAAGTTCTCAGTGAGATTACCCGTTTTTCCCTTAAGGTCCCTGAGCATCCTTATAAACATTGCTTCAAACTCTGCAGCTGGTATTTCGGTTGCTTCAATTTCATTTAATTTTTTTTCTTGGGATTTCTATTGTTCTCTCATTTGAAGACTATTTCTTTGTCTCCCCATTTTGGCTGCTTTTTGTGTTTGTCTCTGTGTATTAGATAGATCTGCTATGACCCCCAAGCTTGTTATGAGGGCTTTCTGATGTAGGTTCCTTGTGGGTCTCAGGGGTGCAATCTCCTAAATCACGTGAGCTAGGTGCTCCAGAAAGGACTCGTGTGGGTTATGTGCCCTCTTGTAGTCTTGAGTGCTGTTAGCTCCTTGGTGGGTAGTTAACCTCAGACTGGCTGACTATATGGACAGACCTCGTTCACCATGTAGGAGTCACTGTTCAAGGGCTGGTCCCTGAGGAGTCACTGTTCCTGGCAGGGTCTAGTGTCTGCCAGCGTCCCACACTTGTCTATGCCATTTGTGTGGCTAGTTGTGTTTATCTCTGGTGTGGTTTGAAGCCCAGCACCAGTTGTGTTGGTTTTGGACCCCTTGGCCAGGGCTCCAGTGCAGGTCGATGTCAGATGTTGTGTGTAACCAGCCTTGGGCTCCCCATCTGGAGCTACCACACTATTCATTGTTTGTGGCTGTCTACAGGCAGTGTACAGTGATCAGCTTCCTGAAGCTCTGAGCTGGGGGCAGATTATTAAAAGTCGAAGGCTCCCTAAGGTCGGCAAACTCCTGTCAGCTACTCCATGCCCGAGGCTGCCCAGACTTCCTCCAGAGTCTTACGAAGGCTATAGAGTGGGCCCAGGCTGGTAGTGCCACACTGACCCTCCCACACAGTTCAAGCTCTGTAGGGCGGGACAGCTGGGTTGGGAATACAGGATTAGTGGGTCCCCAACTTGGGGGCAGTGTGGTCAGGCACTCAACGGGGAGATTGTGGCCCCTATTCCAGAGCCATTCAAACTCACTCTCTCCTAGTGTCCAACTCTAGCCCCCCCAGGAGGAGCACACCACAGGTTCAGGTTGGGTGCAGTCAGCTGTCCCAACTGCAGAAGCAAGATTGGCAGGATGAGGTCACTGGGACTTGGACAAACAGACCAAGAAAGCCCTTCATTGGGGGTGGTACCGGGTGGGCCATGGGGCAGGTGCAAGTTGCACTCCTCCCCTCAGCTCTGTAGCCACGCCTGCTCGAGCCCTTAACTGGAGCCTCTGAGGGAGATGTACTCTGAATGAATGTCCCGCCTCTAAGTGGAGCCACCTTTCCCCCCTGCTGAACTGAGCCCATCAGGACAGGGTGAGCACAATTATAAAAACAGATCAAGGCAGTCTTCCATTGGGGGTGGTGCAGGTTAGCGGAGGGAAGCAAGTTGCAGGCCTCCCTTTAGCTCCGCAGCCACACTGCCAGAGACCCTGACAAGGGAGTCTTCCACTGGGAGTGGTGCCTGCTAAACCCATGGGGGGGGGGGATACTTGACCCCATTCCAAAGCCATACAGTTCAATGACCATCCGAGAGTCTGCCTATAGTTCCTCCAGGAAAAGAGCACACCTCAGGTCCCTGTTGGGTGCGGCCAACAGTCCTTTCTGCCAGACTCGAGCTTGGCAGGGTGGTGCCACCATTATTTGGAGGACCTGGTTGGTGTACTCCCTACGCTGATGCTGTAAGAATAGGAGTGCCCGACCCTGGAAGATGGCACCGGAGGGCAGTGTGGGATGTCCAGGACCTAGTAGCCGACCCTCCAGATCCCTCTCCAGAGCCACTCCATCCAGATCTTCTCTTCATGGCTTCCATATACCCTAAGTTGCCTTCCCTCTACCAGAGCTCCAGGTGAGTGCCCAAGAGCTCCCAAGTTGGCCCTTTAGGAGAAACCTGGGATTCTAGCAGACTCCCCCGTCTTTCCAGTGGACGAGCCCCACTGATTTTCACTGCCAGACACTATGCAGGCTCCTCTTACCAGCCCTGGTGCTCTGGTTTGGGGGTTCCAGGGTTGAGACCCCACACTCCTCAGGGGGGACTTTTGCAGCCACGATATCCCTCCAGTTTCTCAGCCACCACACCAGGACGCAGGGGCCAGCCCTCTCCGCATCTCCTCCCTTCTTACCAGTCTCTGTGTAGCTTCTATGAATCCTTGGGTATACTACTGTTTGGCTGTCCTTCAGTTGGTCATTCATGTCGACTAAAATTTAGTTGTAAATCCAGTTTAGCGCTGGGAGAAGGTGTATGTGGCTTCCACCTGCTCCGCAGCCATCTTGGAGCCTCTCTAGGCTTTCTCCTCCCTGCAACTGATTTCTACTCAGGGCATACCCTAGGCTTAAAAATAATCATTAAACCTAGAGACATTAAGCACATTTACATGAATAAGAACCTCAAATCAAATTTGTTTTAAATTTATTTACTCTTATTAGGTGGGTAGTATTGTCATCAGTTTACAGGTGGAGAAACCAAGGTCATGCATTCTGCTAGTGGCAGAGCCAGGATTCAAAACTGTTTTAAGTCCAGAGCTTTTAGCTTCTACAATTCCTCTGATATGAATTACATTCCAGCTTAAGTTATAGATTATCCTCCTAGGTTCATAATTTCTTCATGTAAGCAATCAATAATTGTATCTTTTTTGTGTCCAGAGCACTATTTTATGTAACAACTCCACAGATTCATTCACCTCTCTAGTACTCATACTGCTGATTCATACATGGTCTGAATCCAGGTACTTGATGGGTTTTTGTTTCCAGAGGAATGTATGCCTTTTGAGTAAGGAAATAAAAGGTGGCCTATTCCTGATGCAGGAACCATCTTTTTGAGTTCCCTTTAGCTCTCCTTGTGACTCCCCAAGGCACACAGCAAATGCCAGCTAGTGAATAAATGAGAAACAAATTGTTGGCTAAAAGGACAGCACTTAAGAGGCTGGGATTAAATATTTGCATCTAGTTCAGTGTTTGACAAAGGGATTACTAAATATTTACTGAAGAGAATGGCATTTCCGCCACTTTATTAATTCATTTGGCAAACTATTTATCGACCCTCATCCAGGTCTTGGGCATTCGGGAAGGACATATGGTTTGACACAGCCATGAGTCACACATGGTCTCTACTTTGAAGGAATTTAGGGTCTAGAATAAATAATACACATAACAATGATAGATGACAGAAAGCAGGAAATACTGACATAAGACTGCCTATCAAGTGTTTTGAATTTGAAGTTAGAAAAATAAAGAAAGGAAGTTCTTTACACTGTAAGTTGGGTTGTTTCTTTGCACACTCTTTTTCACGCATTCCCTGGCAATTGACCTCAAGGTCTCAAACTTTTCTTCCATGAGTTAATCCCAAATATTTGTTCTGATTTGTCTCCCTCGTTTCCATCTCCCTCTCAGACATCATCTCTATATAATCAGCCTGCACTGTAATCTCCATGTATCAAACATGGAACTTGTAACTCTCTCCCAGTCTCACTGTGACTTCCTGAAATGGGAGGAAAAGCAGCATGATGCTGGGCTCTGAGGAGGAGTCAGTCACAGCCTCGGGACACATGGACAGGGAGAGACGGACACAGGAGAGAGATGAGGAGCCAGTAAAGACTTCTGGGTTTTGTAATACCTCCATCCATTTTCCAATTTCTAACATAAACGTGCAAAATATAATCTTCCGTTCCTGTCCTATAAGTATAAAAAGTTTCAAAGCCAAGGGAAAAAGTCTTTCCCTTGATAGTCCTGCAGAAGGGAATTTAGATCCTCCCTGCACTGACTATTCTGTGACTTCCTTTAATGGAGAATAGGAGAATGTGATGGTAGTGCACAAAAAAAAATGTTAGGATTGAATGTAACAATACTTTGTAAGACCAAACTTGAAGGAAAAGGGTGGGCCATGGCAGGCGGAACGCCATCCCATACATCAGAAAAGGTGGTGGGCTCGATTCCTAGTCAGGGCACATATAGGTTCCAGGTTCGATCCCCATTTGGGGCGCATGCAGAAGGCAGCTTTCTCTCACATCAAAGTCTCTCTCTCTCTCTCTATCTCTATCAGTAAAAGCATACCTTTGAGGATTAAAAGAAAAGAAAAAGGGTGGGAGGGCACAGGCTAGTCTGATTGCCTTCGAGGAAGCTTCCCTCTCTCCATAAATTATGCCCTTTCTATTCTATTAGCTACACAGTAATAAGAACCTGAGGAAACTTGAACACTCATAATTTAAGTTATGGAATTAAGGATGTGAAGACACTAGTGCGAGAATAACGACATACTTTTGAGCAGTTATCGCTTCAATACTTTTAGTGGAACCCTCTAAACACAGGGCATAAATTATAGGGGTATGGCAAACTGGCTAACGTTCTCTGAATCTCTCCATTAGATGGGCCACATGACTGAGTTCTGTCCAAAGGGAAATATACAGGGGATATGCATGATTTCCAGGCCTGACAAACTTTTTCCATGCATGCCGTTCCCTCTTCCCTTGTGCGCTCCTTCAACAAAGACTGCATGCAGACTGGAGAAAGGCGGCTTTGCAAGATGGAAGGAGACTGGGACTCGGAATAACTGTGAAAGGCTGCCCACTGACCAGCAACATCCACACCCAACTATACGAGAAAGAAATGACCTTGGAAAAGTTACACAGCTTGGTCCCAGTTTCCTCATGTCAAGTATTTATAAGAGTGCCTGATCAAAAGTAAAAGCTCAATAAATATTAGCTCCCATTATTATTAGGAAACAAAATTTACTCTTACTTTCCTTCTTTTTCTTGGGCAAAGTGGAGTACTGTGGGGTGGGATAGCTAGGGAAGAGCACTCAGATGCATTTACCAGTTAAAACAATGATCCATACAGGGGCATATTTAATCTAAACATTGTGAGAGCAACTCAAAGAGAAAAAAAATTCATCTGGATCTCAAGCATTAAATGTTATGACTAGTCTCATAAAATTGAGTGCTAAAACACTCAAATCTAATAAAAATGTGAAACATAAAAAGACGAGATTCTTTCTCCCCTTGACAATGAGAACTTGGGGACATTGTAAAACAGTTTTGACAATCCACATCATTTCTGTGGTTTCAAATTAATATAAAACTTGTACAAAGAATACTCTATGCTGTTACAATATTTGTGATACAGCTTAATGATAATTACAATAAACTATCAATTTTAAATAGCTTCTAGAACGCCTTTGCAAACCATGTTTCTCCATATATTTATTACAATACACAACATTTATGAAAGTATTAGTTAAATCTTTGCAGAGGAAGTGGGAAAAAGTGAGGGGAGGAGAGGGAGAATAGTTATTTCAAAACTAATCTTTGTATTAGGCCTAAATGTTTGACAATTATTCCTGATTATAGAACATTATAGGTTTGTAATGTTGAAACATTAGCAGTGCAGTGAATCCAGCCAAAATGAATAGTTCCACTGGATATTTGATTTTGTAAAATTAATTCAGCATGACCAATGCCATTCATATTTCAAAACTGAACCAATTTGTCTTTGTGGTTTTTGACATATAGTTTCTGGGTTGTGTTAGAAATTTAAATATTCTGACTGGAGATCATATGAAAAATGCCCTATTTTATTACTGATGGTTATTTTCTTTAAATGTTGAATAGCCACTATGGTGCAATTTTCATAAAAGGACTACTTTACATTTTCTTCAAAACACACTGAACAATAAAGAAGTGCAGGGCACCAACTCAATTTAAAAATCAGTAGTTCAAATATATTATTTGGGCTTCTAACTACAGTAGTTTATTAGCTGTTGTTATGCTGCGCCTAATTTATCAATTAAACTTTACCATAGCTATGTGTGTATAGAAAAAAATATAGTATATATACACATACATGGTTTGGAAATATCTGCCGTGTTATGCACCCACTGGGGGCCTTGGAATGTATCCCTATGAATAAGGGGGGAATACTGCATATTCAGATTCACATACTTTTATACTTATTAAATAATAGTTTGGAATAATAACCATCAAAATAATCCTAGATCTGGATTAAATCATGGTAGTATCAGTTATTTTTTTAAATTCCAATTTATTTATTCACCTCTAGTGAATAAGCTTCCTATGTGTAGGAAGCAATAATGTAATTACATTGCTATTAATTAGATCATCTACAAAGCCTCTGATATGTTCTGTCAGTATATTTTTCAACACTGATGTCTACACTTGAACAAATCACACCAAAAGCAAAGATGTAACCATTCTTGACACAAGCAGTCATTTCTATAACAGTGTTTCTCTGTGATGGTGCTATCTTGGTATCATAAAGCACAATGGATTTTTCTTAATGAATATAATAAAGGCAGAAAGACATAACGTAGTCCCCTCAGTAACTGATTTTCCACCTCTTAAAAATGGTTGTTGAGGCTACCTATAGAAATTACAGCTCTGCTGGGCAGAAAGACATAGCTGTCCCTGAGACCAGCATCTAGTATTTTAAGCATGAGGTTAAAATCATGGTGCTCACAGCATCTTCGCTTGATTTACATTATGACATCCCTCAGCAGTACCACAATGCTGATTTTCAAATGATACCATTTACTCGCTACGTCTCTTGGCTGTATATAGATTTTTCTTATTAAAAATATTTAATAATTGGGCAATAATCTACTCAGTCTTTGTAAACTCTCCAATGAATAATTTTTCATTTTTGCAACCACTCCCTGCATGGCTGTTGCTCTTTTCTTCAGTCATCTTCTTCACATAACTAAGTGGCCCCTTCCCTTCGAAGGAGGAAGGATTTTTGAATGAGCCTCCGATTCTATCCCACAATGTGAAATACTGTCCATAGTTATAGTCGAAGAACATGTGGTGGTCTGTATGATGAGCTGAGCCATTAATAAATGGCCGTAAGATTTGGGGGACACGAAAATCACCATCATGAATGGAAATCGTCCAGATATTGACTAAGATGTACAAACCTAAATAAACCACCTTGTGTAATGGAAAGATAAAAGGATATATGTGGTAAGGTAGACTTTGAAGGAAGCCATCCACAGGGTGAAAAGCATGACTGGCAAATGGAGTAGGAATCTTCCAGATATGATGAGGCTTATGTATGCGCTATAGAAGAAAAGAACACCATTAGCACCACAAACTTTACCAAGTGTAACATTCAACTTAGCTTTTCATACTTATGTTGTGGAAATGACTTAAAAATCCCTTTGAAATTAGCAAAATCACTTTATAAAATACCCTCCTTCTTTACCCCCAAACAGTAAAATTTTAGCACAAACACTCCAGACTCATAAAAAATACAAACAGCCCTGGCTGGTGTGGTTCACTGGTTAGAGCCTTAGCCTATGCACCAAAAGGTCGCAGATTCAATTTACAGTTAAGGGCATGTACCTGGGTTTCGGATTCGCTCCCAGCCCTGGTCAGGGTGTGTGCAGGAGGCAGCCAGTCAATGTGTCTCTCTCACATCGTTGATTCTCTCTCCTTCCTCTCCCTCCCTTACACTCTCTCTAAAAATGCAATGGAAAAAATATCCTTGGGAGGATTAATAACAAAATAATACAAACAAAATATACCTGGTATTTGTCATCATTATGGTTACTTAGGTATTTAATATACTTAGAGGAAATTCTTGGAAATAGAGAGCTGAATTTAGAATCACAAACTGCTGAAATGTACACTATTTTCTTTTCTTTTACCACCCAGCTTGCCCTACATCACACTCCAGGGCACCACACACTGCATTTCCCACCAAAGCCACAGCGACCCTAACCATGGCTTTTCTCCCGATACCCTAGCCACGTTCTGTCTCCAAGATTACGATATATTAAGTCTGGAGTGGGAGCCAGAAATCAGTTTTTAATAAGGACCCAGGCGGTTCTGATCCAGGCAGTCTAGGGACCAGTCTTTGAATTACTGTCATATTAAGGGTAAACTCTTTGCAACACTTGCTGCAGGATTTTAGTTAGAATGAGGTATGTGGAAATCACAATGGAGTCAATAAAATTCCACGCTCCTCACTGTGTATCAGCTGGTGTACAGCTCCGGGCACCACGCAGCACAGCTGAGCGCAAGTGCCGGCGGGGAGCCCGCCGCTCTGTCCCCCCACCAGCCGACCCGCTGGGCCGGGCCAAGCCTGAAGGGCCAAGCCAGGCTGGGCTAAAAGCATCGGTGGGACTGACCCAGGGGAGAAACTCAAATTATTCCTGAAGTTTTACACAAGGATCCTGAGTGGTAGGAGTCACTGAGTAAAACAGTAAATCCGGTCAGGTGTAGAATGTTTTTCACAAGCCACATCAAATTACTGAACTCAGGTATATTTCTATGTGGTTATTCTACCCTTTGACAAGATTTTTAAAAATTAAACTTATTGGGGTGACATTGGTTAACAGGGTCATATAGGTTTCAAATGTACGTTTCTATGATACGTGATTTGTACAATGCACTGTGTGTCCATCGCCCACGGTCAAGTCTTCTTCTGTTCATCCTTTATTACCTCCATTCCCCTTCCCCCCGGGAACCACCAGACTGTTGTCTGTGTCTATGAGTTTCAGTTTTAGATAGATTCATATATAATATTGTTTTCTTTTCCATAAACACAACTCTACCTTATATACAAGTCTGTGATGAAGGCCTCTGTGAATCCAGTAGATCAGCATGTCGGTGAAAAAGAGGAAGGACAGGATACTAACGATGAGCTGAAACCAGCCTAAAAGACATAATAGCAGAATCAAGATTCAGCTTCTTTGATTAGCCTTTATTTTTTACACGTCTAAACGCAAAATATGATCCTAGAGTCAAATACTATGAACTATCTGTTTTGGCCAACTAAACACATTATAAAGTAATCTCCTTTGACTCTCTGGAATCTGCTCATTTCCTCATATAAAAATTTGGAAGTGTCCCACCTAAAATATTTCTTAATTATACTATTAAGCTATTTGTGAGATAAAAAATATATTCCTGAAGCACTGGTATTATTTAAATCTCTGAGAATAATTCTATTTAATAATTTTCCTTCATAAACATATCTTTATACATTATCTCCCTGCTTTGAATTTTATTTTCCACTAAATACCTTAAACTGAGCAACTATTCCATAACCTACCCCTTCTGATCTTTCCAACCTCATCTGTTCCTGTACTAACCAGGCTGGGTTATTACTCAATATCCTCCCAGCATCTTGAAAGTCTTACCTCTCTTTCCATGTATCTAGAATGCCCTTCCTCTGTTTATTTTTATTCATAATCCCATATACTTTTCAAAACCTAGTCATCATCTTAGTGTATGATTTTTGTTCCCTCCTTTAACTAACTAACCTCTTAGAAAGCAGGGGTGCTGGTTTCTACCACTTATTTGTTTAGAAACCTGGGCAAGTTACTGAAATTCTCTGTAAACTTAATTTACTCACCTATAAAGTAGCATAATAATAGAACCTACCTTACAGAACTGATGTAGAATAAAATGAACTAATATATGTGAAAAGCTTAAAACTGCAGCTGGTATTTATTAACACACAATAAATGTTAACTATTATTCTTACTTTATAATACTAGATACTAGAAATATATCTTGATGGAATAATTTCAAAATTTCACAGAAAGTTAGTTTAGTTACTGCAGGACTGTTTATAATAGACAAGACAGGAACAATCTAAAGGTCCAAAATTAGAGATCACTTAAATAAACTAAGGATATCTACAAAATGAGTTCAAACCAGTATGCATAGGAAAGTTTCATTTTTGTAATACAAGGCATAGAAAAGTGAGAGGACATATGTCAAAAGATTTATAGTTTCTAAGTAGAAAGATAATTGATATTTTGAAATCTGTACTTTCTGATTTTCCGTGAGTGTCATGTCCTATTTGAGTTATTTTTTTTGAAGGCTGAATTCAACACAGGTAACGGGAAGCAAATGCAAAGGCTTTTATGTCTGACCATGCCAATCTCCCTCTGGCACAATTTTATCTAAAACAAAGCCTTTAAAATTGATAAACTTAAATAAGTGCATACTATGTGACAAGACATAAATGCATAAAAGAATATGAAAGGATATTAAAAACTGAGCAATTTGTAATTATTTTAAAAGAGGCAGATTTGTTTCTTTAGAAACACCAGCCTGTGCCTGACATTCTTGATATTCACTCACCGTGGGGAAAGCCCCCTATGTCATCATATAACTTGCTGTAGCCTCTTAACTCCAGCAGGAACAAGGAGACTGTGGGAATGCTTATCCATGGCAGGGCCCAGACAGTAAACATGATCTCTCGATAGACTTGATTCTGAAAATGACATTTCCAATACTTAAAACCACAAACTGTCTACTAAGCAAAACTAGCATAAAGTTATTTTGGTTGGATTTTTAGAATCTCTTTTACATGAACCAGCTTACTTCCAAAATGTTTCTATTAAAATGCTAATATGCAGGAATAGGTATGTAAGAAAAAAATTCTTTTTGTATTGAGCAAAAACAATAAATATTTTAAATTCCCAAACTTATTCTCCTTCCAACAAAATCTGTATTCTAAATTTCTATTTATTAAATAATAACTTCTTTCATAATTAACTTCCATCCCTAATCCTCCCTTTTCCCCCAGTCCTTGCAGACTTGTATTTGAAAAATACAAATAACTGAAATAGAAGAATGACTGTAAACAAACCTAAAACTAAGTTTGGATCCTATAGCTAAAGAAAAATATACATAGTAAAAATTTATTTCAGTTGTAAGTCAAACATTAAAATAACTACACAAATGTGTGCATTTATTTATTCATCACTAGTAGCAAAGAAATTCTTGTCTATGTAACTAGCAAAATACCAGACTTTTAGTTAAAGAAAAAATCTGGATTCGTTATTTATTTAAATTAAGGAAGGAGAGGTGGGATTAGCCCTACCAAAAATATATAGCCCATTTGGGGCTGGTTTCAAAAACTTTTTGCATCCAAATAGCTCACAAACTCATCATATTGTTATTTTTACTAAAACAGTAGTTAAAAATAGATAAGAAATTCACTTACCTTTAAAAATTGTGGATGTTTCATTAATGAATGATCAAAGATAAAATAATAGCTTAATGTTGCAAAGATGAAATAAAGGATATAAGCACCAAGATTTGTTACAATCAGGAGACTAATAGTTTGTCGAAAGAAGTCATCCTCTGGCCATGTGGCTGGATATATGTACGGTGTAAAAACATAATAATCTGCAGCACTGAGTACAAGATCCATTTTAGCACCTGAAGGATAAACACATGCAACAGTTATTTACCACACTGACATTTCTCAAAGGAGTATTTTCCAGAAAAACTATACATGATGTTTCTGCTTTAAGAAGCATGTGTAGTGTAAGTCTGCTCCTACCAGACTCCACTAAATGCCACCCTTAAAATTCGAAGGGAGCTTAAATATAATCTCTAGTCCAATCTCTTCATATTATACAAGGGAGCACCAAAGCTCTGTTAGAGAAACTGAGACTCAGACGTTTTTTTCTCTAAGGTCTAGCTGACCCACGGCATAAGTATAGATCTGATTCCTCCCTTAGTGTTCTCATCTACTGTGTCCTAGGGCAAGGCAGCAAGTAGTCAAGATGGGGAATGCAAAGCACTAGGTCTTCAGGCAAATGGTTTACTCTTTCAGTTACAAGTTTTAGCAGCCTCTCTCTACTAAAAAAACTATTTCAGGGATTTTTGCTTCAGTGCTGAAACTCAAAATTAATTTCCTAAAAGGTGTCTATGTGCCACCACAAGCATAGAAGTCAGGGACTATCTGTTCTTATGACACAAGGCCTCTCTCATTGACACAACAAAGGGAGATGTATTCTTAATGTTAAGGATCAGAATACATTTATTCCTCTCCCCACTAACGGTACTCTGGATCAGGGGCTAGGAAACTGGGGCCCACGGGCCAAACCCAGAGCCTGGTTCTGTAAAAACAGCAGCAGCAGCAACAAAAACAAAAGTTTATTGGAATACAGCCATGTCCAGATGTTTATATATTGTAGGGACGTTTCTCGAGACAGGGCTGAGTCACTGCAAGATACTTCTTATTAGGCTCTTTAAAGGCAAAGTTTGTCAACTCCTGGTCCAGAGGCTTAAACTTTTAAAAAACTTTAGTCAATTAAGCAAATAATTAAGTCTATTCTATACTGATAATCCTGTTACAGTTCAGCAACATTACGGTCAGCTTTTCTGAACTGACCACTGAATCTGGATCATTTTTGATCTGCTACTTCCTTTTTTTAAAAATCCTCACCCGAGGATATGTTCTTATTGGTTTCAGAGAGAGGAAGGGAGAGAGGGGCATAATGAGAGAGAAAAACATCGATCGTGTGTCTCCCGTATGCCCTGACCAGGGATCCCACCCTCAACCTTTTGGTGGATGGTGGATGGGACAACTCTCCAACCAACCGAGCCACCTGGCCAGGGCTACACCCTCATTCTTTACTGCATAGTTTAGAGAGGAAAATGTGTCCAACATTGTAAATCATCTCTCATTTATAATTGAAACTTTTGAACAACAGCAACAAAAATCCAGTCTGGAAATTGTCTATACATATTAGGTTTCAGGTATTCAAATGGCCTTTATCTGCTATATATTGGGCCATATAAACAGCAATTTATGAAATAAAATTAAAACCAAAAAAAATCCTTTAAAATATTTAAGTACTTATTTAAAGACTATTTCCCCTATTTGGTTCCCCACAAGAATTTAGAAAGTCTTTTTAAAAATCATACATATATGAAGTTTAAAATGATCACTATAGAGATACAGAAAGCATTGCTTCCATACATATCTCTGTACACCACAATCGTCATCTCACTTCTAGCTCTCTGGGTAACCATATTTATTAGTTTCCCATGAATCTTTATTTTTAAATATAAGATCAAACTACAAATTTTTATTTCCCTCCTTCTTTACAAAGAGTGACATATACACTGTCACACAGTCTTTTCTCTTAAAAATGTATTTTGAAACTCTCTCCATCATATGAAGAATACCTCCTTTTTGTTTTTAATTAAGCAGGCTTATTGAAATACAGTTTGCATACTCTAAAATTCACTGTACTAGAGAAAGATTAAAAGTTTTCAGCATATTCCTGGTTGTGCAATCATCACCACTATCCATTTTCAGAACACTTTCATCCCCCCCAAAGAAACCTCATTCTCCATACTGTGGAGCTTCTTGGATGTGAAAATTAATGTTCGCCATTCAATGTAGGGAGTTTTGGGCCACCATTTCTTAAAATAACCATTTTACTATCTTTCTCTCTCTTCTCTTTTGGGACTCCCATTATGCTTGTGTTGATATTCTTGATGTATCCTCCAGTCTCTGAGGCTCTGTTATTTTTTCTTCATTCTTCATTTCTGTTCCTCACATTGGATAAATCTCAATTGACCTACCTTCAAGTTATTTGATTCTTTGTTCTCTTGGCTCAAATCTGATGTTAAGTCTGATGGTTCATTTTAAACTTCAGTTATATTTTCAACTCAAAAATTTTTATTTGGTTCTTTTCTTTAAAAAAATAAATTCTATCTCTTTATTGACAGTCTCTATTTAGTGGGATATTGTTCTCATACTTTGAATTATTTAGATGGTGTTCTTTAAACATATGTACAGTAGCCAATTTAAAAAATTTACCTTTAATGTTCAAAGTATTATATATGTCCCCTTTCCCCCCCCATTTGA